AAAAGTTTTATTTTTCTTAGTGTAGTAAACCGATGTTTTTGCACAAAAACGGCGTTCCAAAGGTTAGGTGGCCGGAACAACATCACGCCACCAAAATAGGCCACTGAGGCTACCGCCTCATTGGTTAATACTGATCGACTACGCATCACGCCATTCCTATGACGTCAATCATCCTTTCCTAAATCCCGGGCATGTCTCATATAAATAGGGGCCCTGTTTCACAGACTTTTGAGACATAGAAGTAATTACCAGTGCTTTACCATACTTGTGTGGGTCGCGGACTAGAAACAGCCGCATCGCCGTCCACATCTAGTACAAATTAAATTACAACTATTCTCCGGTAGAATTATTATTCTGTCGACAAATTTCAACTTACTTAAAATTAACTATATTATTAGTTTCGTGTTAATAAACATATATCAATAATTAACAACATTTTGTGTTAAACTTCTTACTCTACCTTCACTTCAACCACCATCCTCCGATTCATTGCGACGACGTTATTCGTCGTTAAAGAAGTGTGCAGAAACCAATCAAGTGAGAGCGACGAGTTACTACATTAGTTTCATTTATGTATCTACTTATATAGTGCTCTTCGTAATTTCACTAAACACACAGTAGAAACATTTTATAATAACACCTGTCGTAGTGACATCTGTAATAAGTGACACTACGTTTTAAAATTTATATTAAGTGCGTAGTGTGCAGTAATTGTAATACGAATACCAAGCTCACTCGTCCTGAAGTTATTTATCATCAGTAAGTATCTATTGTTTCTGAAAATTCGCTCGGTCAAACCGGTGATGATTTTTTAAACTGTGAAGCATAAACTTGTTTTCATATATTCTATACTCAAGTACAAATATTAGGTACCTAAATTGATTGAGTATATAAAATGTATAAACATATAATTGTTGTAACTAATACAAACGTAAATCGTTGGTATTTTTTGTTTCGTGTTTTAGTATTTTTAGACTTCAATAGTTTGATGATAATATGAAAACAAATAAGCATAATAAATTAATAAATAACTGAATTATTAAACTAATAAATTTACATTTTATATAATGAACAATATTAATGTTAAGTTCAATATTAGGTAGGTACATTGGGCACCTAGTAAAATTTAAAAAAAAAAATATTTATATGTTTATAACTACAGTTTTAAAATTGTTATACTATAGTCAATTACATAACGTCATAACATACTAATATATTTACATTATTATTTTTTTTACCTTTTTTTTGTTAGTGCCAGAGTAGGTAGGTATCTTCGGTAATGAGATTTTGAATTTGATTTATTATCTGCCACTCAAGCAATGTTAAAGAACCTATAAAATGATCATATTTCTCGACGATTGTGCCATATTTCACATATAGGAATACATGTAATAATTTATTATGTTATTGAAATTTTACAATATTTTATGGTTTTACTATTAGTAATTTTTGTAAATGTGTTTATAATTTATATAGGCGGAATATATTAAATCAGTTTTTAATGTAAACTATTGAAATCTAAAAATCCTAAGTTACTACTGTACCAGGTCAGTTCGGTCCGTTAATACCCATCCCGTAGCAGGAGAAAGTAGAATAATATTAAACCAGTTTAGTCTACCAAATTTCTACTTTGTGTTAATTTTTTCCTTAAACACTAGTAATTATTGTAATCATTGATATTTGCTTTAATATATATTTCCTAATAATCAATACTCAAGAAAAAAATGGCTTAAAGTTTGTGGACTTGATCACTTGTACAAGTTTCAACGAGTATGTAGTGATCATTTTTTAAAAGAACAGTATAGTAGACAAGGAAACAATAGTAATATAGTAATTATACATAGATAGTAAAAAAAAAAAAAATACCCGATTTTGGAAAGGTATTTATATCATGGGTATTTACCCGAAATAAATTTCTTACCCATCGGGTATTTACCCAGTGCCCATCACTACTTATAAGTTATTTCATTGTTCTCTGTCTGTCACAACAATTACTGTTATCGCTAACAATAATTTTTTTGTTTACTTATTACTTTTTATAACATTGATTTTAAATGTTAATTTTTACTTTATAAACATGTTGTAGTTTACTGTTCGTTATGTACACTATTTCAGTTATAGAATAATAGGACCTTAGAACTAGAATGTTTGATCATTGGGAATGGTATGATTTTTCCCATAAAAAATTATACTAAAAATCTGTGTCTTGTAAAATAATAATTTATGATAACTGTAACTCTGTAATATGTTTTAAAATATTAATTAGTTTAAAATAACCAAACATACTTTTAAAAATACAGCAGACAAAATATTATATAATATTTATTAGCTGTCTAAATTAATAACAGACAATTTATTTGCAACTAGTGTTCATAGAATAAATTAATTGAGAATTTTACTTTCTGATTGGAGTGATGAATGTCTTAATTTTATAATATTGTGTTGTTGTGATTTAAGCTATAAAATGTAAGAAATACTACCAATCATAAAAGTGTATACAGAGTAACATAACTTAAAAAGTTATAAACACATGATATTAAAGTATTAAACGGACAAGGATTCAGGGGCTCCATGGGTGCTCGGGCATCCTCCGTCATCTAAGCCACTATTCACCAATAAAATTAATTACATAACCTAAAATAAATAGGTAAACCAATTTTTTTTACGCCCTGCTAAAATATTTAAACATACTATATTTTTGAAAGCAATAGATTTTTATGAACTTTTAAAATTATTGATTGAATTTACATTTATTCCAAATTTAATGCAAGACTTATTAAAAACATAATACGGTCTATACTCTGTCCCACGAGAGAAGTAGACTGTTTCCCGCATATAGACAGATGTCAGCGGCGTTCCGTTGCTCCATTTTCCTCACTATGTGACAGTCGGTACAGACCAAGCACAGTATTACACCGCACTCCCAGACACCGGATGTTTGTTGTTGTCGTAATATTTATAACCATCGTTATGGTACTTTGATCTAATGTCTTTTACCACGGAAGATGAGACTGGAAGATTGGGTATATCCAGTTTAGATGATGGTATGGAATTTAAAGTGAGTAATCTCTTTAGTACAGTACCTATACATAATAAATTAATATAAATTAATATTTTGTTTTATAAATTTAAAACTAGGATCAAAATAATTTTCTGACAGTATGTACTGAAAACTTGGATATAGATGACCCCACTTCAGAATATGATTCTCTTCTTGATTCTCCAACCACATCAATTACCACACATCACATAACCAAAAAACGAAAAACCTTGCTAGCCAAAAAAAAGATTTTTTAGATCTTGCTAGTGAAACTATCAAAACATTAAATGAACTATTGAGGAAGATGAATGCACAATTGTTGGAAAAAGGTTTGCCATGCAATTACGTGGGATGACTGATCACCAAAAATATTTGGCCGAAAAAATAATTGGAGATGTAATGTATCATGGTAGAATGAATATGTTGACGGAAGATTCAAACAAGTTTAACGGTGGAAATAAATCAAAGTTTAATTATCACCCACATAATCAAGTTTAAGTACACCAAAAATCTCGATCTCCACACCTAATGCCTCAATCAAATCGCACCATGCCACAACCACAACATCACATCAACAACAACACAAACAGAAGCATCAACAACAGCAGCAACACCTCAAACAACAGGAGCAGATATATACAGACTTTGAAGATGATCAGTTATATGAACCGATAATTGTTACATTAAATGATGCAATTGAATAATACATTTCAATCTTAAATATTACATATTACATAATATAGAATAATATAATACATATAAAATATTACATTATATTATAGATATATCTTTTATTTATCTATTATTAATCATTGTGTCTTGGAATGACACTTTTCCTTCATTAATGAAATAACTTTTAAACTGATCCCTGATATTTTTTGCGTTACGAGTTGCAACAAATGTTGTTCTCTGCAGTGGAACCAATTCACCCTCTTGTCGCCATTTACCTTGAATAACATTTCCACTCTCAATGTCCTCATTATCCAAATGATAAGCTGAGGTGTAGTGAGTGCTTGAATTTCGTCTCGGATAATTATGTAAAACACAGCTGGCCATAACAACCGCATCTACATGTTTGACATCAATATTTATTGGTTGCAAAAATATTCGAAACCTTGATGCCAAAATTCCAAACGCATTTTCAACAACTCGCCTGGCCCGAGACAATCTATAATTAAATATATGTTCATCGTGACCAGAATAATGTGCTGAATACGGCTTCATTAAATTCTCCATAAGAGGAAAGGCTGCATCTCCAAGAAAAACATATGGCAGTTTGTAATCAACTTGTGGGGGGCATCGATGAGGTGGTATTTTTAAATCATTCTTTTCTAATTTTCTGAAAAAATCTGTATGTCTAAGAAACCAGCATCCGAAACTCTGCCATTAGTGCCACTGTGTACATAAATGAACTCATAGTTTGCATTTACTATCCCAAATAAAACAACACTAAAAGTCCCTTTGTAATTATAATAGTATGACCCGCTATTTGGTGGCTTGGAAATTACAATGTGTTTACTATCCATAGCTTCTAAACAATTATCAAAGTTCCATTGATTTTTGAAGTCACTTGCTACTTGCTGCCATTCTACTTCACTTTTGGGCATCTAGGAAAAAAAACATTAAATTATAAAATGTGTGGTGTAGGTACATAACATTAGTTGAATTAGCTAAGTATAGAACTTTAAAATAATGAACATATCGACTTAAAACAACTATTGAAAACAATTTATGCAAGAAAAAATTGTTTTTTAGACGTTGTTTAGTGTTTTTTTTTTTTTTTTGATGGTAAATATAATATACATGTCTGAGCTCACCTTCAAATATTCTCCTCTCAAAACTTCATATATTGCCCAACAGGTTTCAGGAATTATCTTCCCAAAAGCCTTTGCTGAAATTGCACACGAAAACTTGAGGTCCTCATAACTGCGTCCGGTAGCCAAAAATCGTAACGTGGCAACTAATCGTTCCTCTGCAGAAATGCTTTAGTAGTATTTTCCTTTTCAATATACGGTCTGACTAGGTTTAGAAGCTCATAAAATGTATGGTTTTCCATCCGTAAGTAATTTTTATAGTCCGCGGGTTCATTTGATTGCAACTCACGTAGTAAATTCATATGAGAATATTTTCGGCGTTGTAATAGCCACTGTTTTGCCCATTTCCTCTTATTTTGGAAGTTATCATCATCTTCATCAATAAAATGCACAATAAGAGCATTTGTCAGCAGCAATTTTCTCTTTCGGTCTACCTGGTTCATTTGTGCACAAATATAAAAAACTTAATAAACAATAAAACATATAAACTTATAAAAGTTCTGATGATATTTCAAATTTTGAAATTCGAATGACGATTGTGAATTGATAACTGATAATTGATTTTGGTGTGATAAGCAATCGGCGATTGGTATGACGACGAGTTTGACAACTGATCGTTACGTGTGTGGACTGCGTCAGGTTTGACAACTGATCGGCCGATTGGTATGACAATGGGTTTGACGACAGATCGTTCCGTGTATGGCCCGCTTAACTTGATAAGCTTCCAATCGCCAATACATTATAGTTTACTATCTATGTTTATAATCTGAATAACTGATAATGAAGTTTATTAACATTTCATTATAATTGGTATAAGTCAATATAAGGTTCCATGCATAATATTATGATAATATACCAACATTTCCCGCATAAATTTAAATAATATTATAATTACTATTTATTGCAAATAATCATAGATCCAAACGTTATAGATTGACTGTATAGTAAACAAATCTTTGTAGTAGTTGAATTACAGATTAATATAAAATTACCTGTAATGGTATAATATTATCTATAACAACATAGTATCCTTATGTATTATTAATATTGTATTGGAATTGCCTGTGATATTTATAATTTGAAGGTAAATTTTATTAATCTCTAGAAGGTACCTTTTATTAACAGTATTTCTGAGTTTTATTTAAACAACAATACACCCACCACACAGTTATTAGTTTACGATTTATGAAATAAATTTAATAAAAAGTATCTCTTAAATCGCCTTTTAGTTTTTACCAAATATGGATTACCAAACTGACTCTGAAACAGATTTTGACACTTCTCAAGAACCAACAGCTTCTACATCAGTGGTTAAGAAGCCAAAAACGTGGTTATATGAACACAAGTATCAGAAAGTATGGGAATCAAATCCAAAGTATTCTAAATGGATAAGTCATAGCAAAAAAGGAATTGTATATTTTCATTGTAAGGTTTGTTTATGTGATTGTAAAGGTGGTTTATCGGCTGTTATTAAACACAATAAATCGAAAAAACATACCTAATCAAAATTCAACCAATATGAAAGTTAATTCTGTATTTGATATGCCTTCTTTGACCAAAAGTAAAGAAGTGATAGAAAATATAAAAAAAACTGAGATCCGTATTGCATCTTTTGTGGCTGAACATAATATACCAATAAATGTGACTGATCATCTTGTACAATTAATCAGCTCTATAAAACTAGAGCCTAATAACTTGTCAAAGTTAACATGTGACAGAACAAAATGCACTTACATCATCAACCACGTCATAGGTGCCACTGGATTTGATGATCTTGTACAATACATAAAAAACAATAAGTTTTCACTTTTGGTCGACGAATCCACCGACATAAGTGCTGTAAAAAACTTAGCTCATGTAGTACGTATATGCGATAATTATAAAGTTGATGATCAGTTTCTTACGCTTCCCCCTGTAGCCGATGCAACTGCAAATACTATTTATCAAGTTATTACAAATTTTTTTAACAGCCACAATATTCCATATAAAAGTAATTTAATTGGGTTTGCTGCTGATGGAGCCAACACGATGATGGGTAATAATCATTGTTTAAAAAGTCTGCTTATAAATGATATTCCACAATTATTTGTTTTGAAATGTGTGTTTCATTCATTGGCACTATGTGCTGAATATGCATGCCGAAAACTTCCTGATGAAATTGAAAAAATGTTACGAGAAATTTATACCTACCTACTTTAGCCACAGTTTTAAACGACAGCATGAATTCGAAGAGTTCCAACATTTTTTCGATGTCAAGCCCCATAAATTATTGCAATTAAGTTGTACCTGATGGCTGTCATTACTAATGGTCGTAAGACGAACAGTATGTACCTTTATGTTCTTATTTTCAACTACAGCATTTTGATGGCATAAGCAATTTTCAGGTAATATCTAATGCATTAGATAACCCTGTAAATAAAATGTATTTAGAATTTCTTGAGTTTATATTACCGACATTAGTAGATTTAAATTTAGAGTTTCAAGCAGAAACTCCTAAAATTTATTTATTGTACTCTCGTTTAATTAGCACATACAAATTTATTTTACAATGTTATATAAAGCCAGAAATTTTATCTAGTACTAAAATCGAACAACTACAATATCGTAATCCAAGCAATTATGTATCAACAACAAATCTATAAATAGGACCTACATTAGCTGTCTCATTGGCACAAAATGTATTGAGTAACGACCAGAAAAGTAGTTTTCTTACCAATTTCCTTAATTTTTATGTACCTAGTTAACATATGCTCACCAAATGTTTACACGATTTCCATTTCACTCTAAAGAGATTATTGCATTGAAATATTTGTCATTTCTTGATCCGACCAACATAGAATCAATTCCCACATTAGGTCATGTCTCTATGAACTTTCCTGCTTTTATTTCAGAATGCTTATTTCTTAATGCTTTAGACATGGAATGGAGAATGTTAATAACCAATACTTTAGATCTTTCATTAAATGTTTTTGCATTCTGGAAAAAATATCTTTCATTGATGATTCATTACTTTATCCTCAATTAGCTTCATTAGTTCAAAATATATTCTGTTTGCCTCGTAGTAGTGCTTGCGTAGAAACGATATTCAGTACAGTAAATTTAAATAAAACAAAACTACGAAATAGACTAAGTCCTAATACATTAAATGGTATACTACAAGCAAACAATATATTTCCAAAAATAATAAGGACTGCTGTACATATGAAATTGATAAAAAGTTAATAGATAATCATAATACCAACATGTATCAGTATTATAATTTATAGACTGAACTATTTTAAGTTTAATTCGGAAGATTTTAAATAATTGTATATTTTTTTTAATTGTATAGGTACCTAACATAATTATAAGACTGAAACATTTTAAGTTAAATACTTTATAACTGTGGCTTTTAAATATTTGTATATTTGTCTTTTTTTTGTTAAATTCTATAACCTATAGGTACCTATCTAATATAATATTTTTATCATATTTTGATTTTTATTGACTCAATTACTAGTCTAGTCTGACTTTATTTAACGAATTACTTCATATAAAGTATGAATATAATATTGTTTAATTATTCATTTTGTAATTTAAATGTAAAATTCTTTATATCTTATTTAAAGTGATTTTATTAACCTAAGTCTAGTCAAATATGAATAATGAAAATAATATTGTTTTATTATTTATTTTGTAATTTAAATTAAACATTTGTTATATTTTATTTTTGTAAACTATGTACTTACATAATAAAATGTTTATATATTAAAACTTTATAATTTATCAATGACCACTGGGCACGGACCACCTATAGTATGGAATCACGATTCAAGTGTCAACTATATTGGGTTATATCTTATATGAAACTAAAAAAAGAATTAGAAACTTTTGGTGATAAAAATTACTTTGGGGGAATTTTGTCGATTTTTTTTATGATTACGTTTGGGGAATTTTCGAAACTTTTTTATGATTTTGTTGAGGAATTCTCAATTTTTGATCTGGCAACACTGGTGTGTATGCAACTTTAGACCTTCGACTTGAATTATTTAATATTATTATATAAAGCTTATCTATTGTCGTCTGTCGACGATCAACGATACAATTATTATTATTAATTTCTTAAAAGTGGTGCACATTAGCGACAAATGACAATAATAATACTAGTGTAATGAACAAAGGTGCTACTTCGTTCGGACGGGACACTTTATATCCGTAAGGGGTGGTGTATAGACAACTTCTTTTACAGGATCAATTTGCCCCTTAACCTGAGTGGGTAGGCAACTTATCAGACCGTTTGCTTTGCCTGAAACGTAGGACCGGCAACCTGTGGTGGAAAGACGGAAGTTATGACAGGACGGAAGCAGTTTAATAAGTATTGGGTGGGGTTGTCCTCTTGGTCAGTTCGGTGTGGTGCAATGACCGACGAGGCTCACATATAATCGGGCATTTCTTACTAACTATTACTTAAGGGTAATTAAAATTAAGGCAGGTGCAGTGGGTGGATAGATTCGTCGATGAGTGGCGCGACTGGACGACCGTGGCGGCCTCTCACACACCCTCAATTGGGTGCTGGCGGACTTACGCAGCAGCGGGGCAGCAAGTTGGTAGACCAGGGCGGCCTCACACACACCACGCCGGATGCTGGCGGACTTATGCGGACTGGGAGACCAATACGTGAAGACCGCGTACGCGGCTCGCAACGACTATCAGCATTCGACAAAGAGTCGACGGTCTCGCAGGAATGACGGGGTGATGGCACACGTACAATATAATATGTCTCGTACACGCGTTGGTGAGGAGCAGATAATAATAAGAGACAAAAGAACTCACTTATTATTGGTGGAGTGTATATTTATTGAACATATGTGTGGCTATACTAGCCAGCGACGATACAGTGTACGTTCAATCGATGATCGTGCCGCAATGGCGACGACAAAAGAACAACAAATACGGGTGCCGAAGTGGCAAAGAACAAAATGATACGTATGAACAGAAAAAAGAGAAACATATAAGAGCGAAGAAGAAGAATATGATACCGAAACGATTAAAAACAAGACACTGATAACATGAACAATCTACAAAGACATTTGACATATAAGCAAATGGTACAACAGAAACAAAGACAATAAATAGTAATTAATAATTATAATAATGTTTTAATACGCTTTATTAGTGTGACGTCATCCAAGGAGATTATAGATAAGCCGGATCCAAACAAATCGAAGTCCCTATATCTAATACATGGGTCTATAACTAAACATTTTTTTTTAAATAAAACTATTTTGATTTAGTTATGTATCTTAGTCAAAAACGTTAAATTAGGTCATTATAAAAAATCTAAAATATTGGATTCTCTAAAATATGTAAGTACAGAAATTTAAATAAATCAGAAAAACAAATTTGGCGGGAAATATTATACATACATCCCTGTTATAATTTAACCTAACCTTGTTATAATTATAATATTATAGTATTATTATAATATTATAGCCGGACAAAAAGTTTGAGCACATTAAATGAAATTAGGCAATTATTTGTTGCACCTTTACATAGTATTATTAGTGATTACTATTTTAAATAAAATTGACCATTAGTCATGCTGTGTTGGGCATTTAATTGTACTCATAATAACCAAAAACACAAATGTAGTTTCTTTAAATTTCCTGTTGAAACTAAAGAGAGGCGTAGATGGATTAAATTAGTGAAGTATAAAACTTTATTTTATATTTTATAAAATTCTTGTTAACATTTATATTTTATAACAAAGTAGTAAAGTAGTAAATTTTCAGTAGTTTCAAGTAGGTATATAAGTATTAGGTATATAAACAACAAAATTATTTGTGTACAGAAGAGATGTTGAACCTGGACCTGGTGCTAGAATCTGTAGTTGTCATTTCAGAAATGGAGACAAAAAAAATGGTCCTGGAATATTAGATCATAGGAAAAATGCATTTTCTAATTTTCAATCACCAGAAAAAAGAAAAAGAACCAAAATTGCTTGCCATTCTGATGACAATGGACCTAGCACTAGCACTAGCAGCACAATTACCCAAACACCATCATCAGAAATTGTTGAATTAAACATACTTGATTTAAAGAATCAACTCCTCCAGTTAGTAACTATTATGTTTATGTATAAATACAAATACTAAATATAATATTATATTATAAGACCATTTATTAAATTAATTAGCAAAATTGTATATTACCTATACAATATACATATTTTATCAAGTTATAATCCTTTGAAATACCTATATTTAAATTTTAAATAAATATCAAAATATCAAATACCTAATATAAATTAATATTTCAAACACTAATGATTGGAATCAAAGCAAAATTGTTTATTTTTTTGGACTGGTCTAATAAAATATTATATCTATAATGTATGATACCCATTACTATGCATAAATAAATGTTTTGTGTTTAACAAGTTAAATACTTACTATTTGTAGGTCTAGTCAAACCAACAAATGCTTAGAAGCTGAAATTTTGTTGCTAAGAAAAGAAAATGAACAGTTAAAATTAAAAATGTCCTCAATTTCTGAGTGCTTATCTTATGAACTGATTTCAAGTAATGATGAATTAATTAAGTTATATACTGGGTTACCCAATTCTAAAATCTTTGATTTACTGATGGTAATATGTGAAAATATTGAGATAAATTATTATTTAAAATGGAAAGTTGAAAATATTTCTATGCATGATCAATTGTTGATTACCTTAATGAAACTAAGACTTAATTTGCCACATGTAGATCTTGGCCAACGATTTAAATGTAGTCAGGCAACCATAACAAACATTTTTATGACTTGGATCCATATTCTGTATGAAAACATTTTCTTAGTATTTATGTCTAAAATTCCATCAAAAAATAAAAATAAGCTATGTCTACCAAATTCCTTCAGCACATTTACTAACTGTAGAATTATTCTTGATTGTACAGAAATTAAAACTGATACTACTAGAGTGTCTATGGTTACACAAAAAGCCACTTTTAGTAGCTATAAACACTATCATACATTGAAAACCTTATTTGGTGTGGCACCAAATGGTGTTGTTACATTTGTAAGCGATTTTTTTCCAGGTTCCACTTCAGATAAAACAATAACACTGAAAAGTGGTGTTTTATCTCAATTGGAACCAGGTGATTTAATACTCGCAGACAAGGGATTTTTAATTCGTGATATTTTACCTCCAAATGTATACTTGAATATACCTCCATTTCTGGACACTCCACAGTTCACACCAGAACAAGTTTTACTTACCGAAACTATTGCTAAAGCTAGAATCCATGTAGAGAGAGCTATTCAAAGAATAAAATGTTACAGAGTTTTAGATCATATACCTACATCTCTGTTATCCCAAGCTGACTATGTTTTTAAAGTTGTGGCATCGCTCACTAATTTTCAGTATCCACTAATTAAAGAAATACAAAATAAAATGTAAATTTATTTTTTTAATAATTAAAAGTATTAACTGAAGGAACTATTTAATGTATAAAATTAGGTATTTGTTAAAAATATTTTGAATAAAGCTATATTATTTTATTTGATATAATGTATGGAATATATTGTTCAAAGTAAAACTTTTGAAGTATTTCAATATTGTTTTGCCATTGGTTATCTTTAAATATATGAACTATGATTGATTCTCTTGGTGTCCAAACTACAAAAATACATTTTTGTCTTCTGGTAAAGTATAGTTGTGCTTGAACTTGGTGCCAGTAATTATGTTTCTGGTTTACATGAATTTGATTATGTTCTTTATAAATTATGTAAGTTTTGTCTTTACTTATTTCTTCTGATAGCAAACTATTTCTGAATTTATAGGGGCATTTTACCTCAACTACACAATTTTCTCCTATAAGTCCATCTGGGGATGCACCAAGATATCCACATTTATGTAACCATAATCCAGTTTTTTGAATCAACACATTTTCAGTTTTCTGGAGAAAACTTAATGCTGCATCTTCATTATTAAGCCCCCACTCAATAGCATGCACACCAGTAGTGATATATTCATTGTTCAGTGATTTAAACAGTGATGGATTATATTTTTTCTTATGGCATGCTGCAAGTATATTTCCATACATGCTTGAAGTTAATCCTTGAAGTTAATCCATTTAATGTTTTTGGACTGACCAATTGTTTCTTGTGCTACTTCTAAAATAATTTCATCAGACACACTTAATTTATTTTCTAGAAGCTGTGTTTTTGTTGTTGATGATTTATACTCATCTGATATAATTATATCATTAATTAATACAACTGGTGATTGTTGAAATAACACTTCAACATTGGGTTCAGGTTTTAATAGCCAGGACATACCTATTGGTGTACCTAACTGTTCTAAAGCTTTTTTAAAGTTATTTTGGTTTTTGTTTGGTAAAGAAATTGTAGCTTTATATGAACAAGCAGGATATAAATCACTAATAGTTTTAGTATTTTCAAGATTACTATTTCTCACATTCCAAGAGCAAATACTATCTGTAGAACTACAATTATGATGAGCAAACAAACATAAAGCTGCCATATGATGACAAATCACCAATCCTCTAGGACATGTACACGTACTGTCACATATAACTCCATCATTGAGAAATATCTATGAGAGAATGTTTTCTATGATTAAAATTTAGAAGTTCTATAATAATAATTAGGGCTAGGGACTTCATGCCCTAAAAAACCTTAAAATATGCATGCATTTATGCCCTAAAGATTCACTTGATATGCTATTAAAATATGCATTTAAAAAAAAGTAATATTTGTAGTAAATAATAATACTATTTGTGGATACGATACATAAATAGATAAATTTGATTAATTATCTGAGATAATTATTTTCATATTTTCAGCTTGTTTAAATGTAATACAAACATTATAAAATTTTTTTAAAAAACAACAAGTTGAATATATTTGTATATTTTTAAAATACCTAGTACTAATTACTTTGAGTATTACATTGAACTATTAGATATTTTCTTAAGTTGGGAATTAAAAACTTATTCACATAAATAATTGTCAAATATGCTATTATAAAATAAAAAAATGGTCTAATATGTAAAATATGCAACTATAAATTTTAAATTTAAACTTGTATTGCCATGAAACATATGTCTGTATTACTTAGCTATGATTTTAATGATTAGTTAAAAACATGCACTCCTAGAAGTCCTGAGCCCTAATAATAATTAATACAATATATTGCATACTTTCACTTTATACTGGATTGATTTCATACTTGCTTTTACTTCACCTTGTATCAATCCATTGGCTGAGTCGTATACTATTTTACAAATGTATCCAGCGTTAAATGAAAGTTCTCCCTTTTTTAGTTGTTTGGGATTTGATTTAAAATAATCAAATATCGCAAACATACTAATAGCACTATTTGCAGACATTATGGTGAATAAAAAAAATAAATAATTGCTAAAAAAAAAAATAGAATATATTTTAAAACTCCCAACTATTTATTTATCATATTTAAAAAAATAATCAACAATAAATCAGGCAAATAAGAACAAAGAGTAAAATAAAAAAGGATATTATTATTATTATTATTATTGCTGTACAAAGATTTTGGCGCCAAAATTAATTTTTAAATTTATTTAAATTCTGTCTCCTTATTTAAACTTTAAATGTATTATTACAAATATTTGTATCATAATGTATCTAAATATATCAAAAAATCATGTTAAATATAAGTACATTTAATAAAAATAAATAGCTAAAAAATTTTTCCGTGCATTTAGCATAGGGACAATACTATGTTTGGATCCGGCATATGTAGAAACTCCCTGATAAAACGTTATCACTAATAAAGCGTATTAGACACTTAGATCATATACTATGGATGGAGCCACTGCGTATTATAGCAATACAAAAAGTTGAAGCCGATATTAGCGACGAGTCACCGAATTAGGTGATCGATATGCGCATGCGCGAAACAACTCGTTTAATATTAATATTATAATCACCAGTTGATAAATATGCGAGAGGTTGCGTTGCGCATGCGCATATCGAACACCTAATTCTGTGACTCGGCTGGGATGGGGACAGTTATAATATTAATATTAAACGAGTTGTTTCGCGCATGCGCATATCGATCACCTAATTCGGTGACTCGTCGCTAATATCGGCTTCAAAATAATATGCAGTGGCTCCATCCATAGTATATGATCTAAGATTAGACATAATGTATGGGGTATGGATGCACGGGAGATAAAGTGGACAACGGTCACCGGGGCCCATATAATGTTCCAGAATAAAAACCGCCAGAATGTAGATTAGTCGAATGTTAAATAACAGAAATTAATATTACAGAATTGAAAGCAACCAGAATATAAAAAGCCCAGATAATATTTAAACAGAAAATAAAATGAAAGAAAGTAAATAGCATAGAATTTAAACTGATAAGAATGTATATCAGTAGAACGTAAAAATCCAGAAAATAATATTGCAGAAATTCCGCTGGGTGTATAATTCCAGAATGGAATAAAATATAACTCAATTTTGCAGAACGGTGTGATCCAAATAAAAAGTTTGCATAAAATATTTTACTCGAAAATTATATATTAGAAAATATCTTTCCAGAAGTATATTGAAATGTTTTAATTGTTAATTTAAATGGGTGGGTACAAATTATAATTTGTTAACATATTCCTGTTTTTAAATTAATGATGCAGCCACAGAATAGATTTAATCTATTCTGTGATGCAGCTGCTAATAGTAAGTAACTAGTACCCAAATATTAATAAATAGGGCTAGGGACTTATAGGAGTTTGCATGTTTCTCAATAATCATTCAAAACATAGCTAAGTAATATAGAAATTTGTTTCATAGTACTAAGAGTTAAAAGCAATAATTTTTTTTTTGAATATTTTGCATATTCAGCTTTTTTCTCTTTTAGAGCATATTTTGTTATATTTGTACTTTAAGTGCATAGTTCACATTATTTCATATTTTATTTATAAATTATATGTTTTAATAATAAAGTTGTATGACAAAGGACATAAATAGCATCCAAAAAGCTAAAGAAATGTTTAACAACCCACATTTGAAAGGAGGCTTAGCATTTATTTCTTTCAACTATAGTTTTCATGTATTACACGTTTGGAAAAACAAAACATGATGTTATTTGAGTATTTCAGTCATAAAAATTGTCAAATAAAAATTAAAAAATCTACAACGAGATAAGGGAAAAGCAATTTATATAAAATTAATAAACGTACTGTCAAAAATGAAGGATTTAAAATTATTACTAATGTATTAGAAGGAATAGTCAATTCGATGGAAAATCTTGAAGACTATTGGAGGTCAACGACTTAAAATACTATAAATTCGCTCTAATAGCATCTGTTGATGTCGAGCGTTTGTTTTTGAGGTACAAAAGTTTATTAGCGAACAATCGGCGCTCATTTACATTTGAAAATATACAAAAAATATTAGACACACAATGCAATTCATTTGGGTAGGATTTTAAAAATTATTAAAATATCAACACAATATTAATTTATAATTGAATTTTTTGTTTCTTTTTGTTTTGTTTAAACTTTAAAGGCAAGTTTTAAGAAGAAGAAATTAAAGTAATAAATAGTAATAATTTATAATAGTAAACTACTAAACTACTAAACTAATAAATAAACTTGTAAATTTTTGGTTTTTAATGAAAAGTAAAATATTTTTAAGAGCATATTTTAGCATTTTTGCATATTTTTAGAGAATTTTTGATGGATTTAAGAGGATGTCAGCGCACTATTTGTTTTCTCTCTCTGGCCCACGCGCAGCATAGACAAAACGCATGAACGCAGAATCATTTTTTCTTTGTTTTAAGTAATCTTAGAGTAAAATCACCTATTACAAAAAAGATAGAGAATAATATTTTTGAGGGAATGTCATATCGATTTTATATTTTATTGTTATTTGACTTTGTATTCGACTTTCAAAATAAACAAAAAAAGTTGTACATTAAAATGATGTTTAAATTGTTTTGAGATAATATTTAGACAAATCGATATGACATTCCCTCAAAAATAGTATTCTCTATCTTTTTTGTAATGGGTGCTTTTACTCTAAGATTACTTAAAAACATAGAAAAAATGTTTCTGCGTAAATGTGTTTTGTCTATGTTGCGAGTGGGTCAGAGAGAGAAAACAAATAGTGCCCTGACATCCTCTTAAGGGCATAAATGCATGCATATTTTAAGGTTTTTCAGAGCATGAAGTCCCTAGCCCTATTAATAAATAATACTAGTAATTGAAAAGAAACAATTAAGGGATAAAATAGCTAGCCTCAATAAAAATTTAAAATAAAAAAATTGGTATTCTAAATAGGTACCTAGTTCTAGTATTGATTTTAGAATATACTTTATTATAATAGAATATATATTCTAAAATCAATGGTTCTAGTTATTTTATGTAGGTTCTTAACCTTCTTTTATACCTATCATAATTAAATTTATCATAACTCAATGTTAAATCATTACCTATTTTTTTTTTTTGTAGATATAATTTAATATTTTTTTTTTGTGCCAAGTGCTAATTACTTGTGTTAATATTATATTTTATATTTTTTGTTAATCAATAAACAAGTTATGAGTTATGACTAAACCATTCACAACTAATAATTGTAACAACTTCTAAAAAACTACGGCAAGACTTCTAAAGCCTTATAAAATATTAAAATATTAAATTATAAATTATAATATTGTCAATTGTACAATAATTGCAAGCCACGCCAGTAATTTTTAAATTAATGTAAAATAGTTTAAGACATGCTCATTCCTTCAAAAACAAAACATATTATTTAAAAACAAAAATTAATAACTTAAATTTTTAAAAACACTGTTATAATGTCTTACATAGATGAAATTGGAAGTTAGCATCTTAGGGCGCCTTTAATGAACCATAATGTACAATAGTAAGATACAATACTAAGATACCTATGGTCTAATAAACTAGGCTATTACATAATATTATGTCAACTTTTTTGTCCTTGTCTGCTCATAATAAGCTGTAGTATTTTTCACTTATTACAATCTATAACTGACTGATTTAAATTAGTTTATTTATTATTATTCATTATTCTTCTAAAT